CAAAAAAATATGAGTAGATTTTGACATTCTGTAAAAAAATTTCTATTTATCTTATAATTAAGTGATAAGAGAAAAATATATAAATATCAATCAAATGGTTATGAAATCTTAATAAATTTAATCAAATATAAACCAAAAATCAATACCTATTTAACTATAAAATATATATGCACTTATCATGGAATAAATATAACATTTGACTTATTCAAAATATTCTCATTAATTATTACTTGAGGGGAAAATAATAAAGTAAGGTTATAATTAGAAACACACACCCACACAAAACCTACCTGATTACCTATATTTTGGACCAAGTAGAGGTTTTAAAAAACATTTTATATTGTGGTTTAGAGGGAGCAAAATGTTAATATTGAATAAATACTTATATGAAAAACATACATATGATTAACAAATATATAACACAACTTAACAAGTAAGTCATACTTTTAATAAAATACTCTCTCCATTAAAAAATGTAAGACATTTTTTGAGAGGTTGAATGTTAAAAAATGTAAGGCATTTTTAGTCTCTTAAGATATAATTATTGTATTCTTTTCAAAAGTGTCCCTATTGAATAAATCACTTTGTATTGATTTTAAATTGAAATATCTTATTAAATAAGGGTAAATATAAAAAAATAGAGTTAACTTAGAGACAAGAAACTACTTTATTGGGGTGAGATTCAGTTAAAAATGCCTTATATTTTTTAACGGAGAGAGTTTAAGCAATACCGGTTATCTATGAATTTTCAAACAATATACAAAAGAATAATCTAGGCCCAATTCACAAGAAAAATCCGGGAATATTTCATAGAGGAAAGGAGTGATTAAATAATATTAACCATTAATCGTCTTGCTGGTCCAATAATTAAAAAAGTACATATTTTATTGCGTCGCGTGTCAATTCATTTCAGCAAATAAAACGTGGTTAAGTGCATTGCTTGTTACAATTGATCTGAAACTTGAAATCAGCTAAATTAGGAGTTAGTAGTCAACTTTTGTCAATGTCTTCACATAAGACAGTGAAACGTGTATGGTTTGTTGTCGTTGATTTCAAACCTAAAATCATCAAATTTAGTACGTAACTTTTAGTACCTAATTTTTCTCAATATGAATGTAATTCAACTAAACCATCCTTTTTATATACTATATGATGTACAAATATGATATATGTATTAGATATGACACAATACCAACACATCGATATGATTATTTATAATATATATATATATATGTATGTATGTATGTATGATATGAAACGTCTAAAATGTGTGTTGAAAAAATATTCCAAAGAAATATTGAAAATATAATTGTCATTCAAAAAATCCAATATGAACATATTTACAGTTCTTTGATAAGGGGAAAAAAAAACTATTTTGACCGTAAAATTCACTAATATAATTTTTATTGCCTCTGTTTTTTTTTGGATTGTGTGCAAAGTGGAAACTGTGATATGAAACCAACCAGTGTAAAATGATTTAATTTTTTTTTTATTTTTATCGGAATCATTTTTTATTTTTGCTTGGCCACTTAAGTTATCACATTCCAATTTTTACTCCTAGAATTGAAGATTAGATTATAATTATTTCTTAAAGCATTAAATTATTATTTTATGAAAAAGAAGTACAAAATTAAATTTAGTAAATATGTATTAATATTGTTAAATTGAATGAGATTATGTCATGGTTATTAAAATTTACCATAATGATTACATGAGGAAAGTAAATTTATCCAAGAAGAGTAAAATTTTAACAATCATGATATTTAAAAAAAAGGAAAAAATTAATAAAATCAAGTGAGATTAAACAAATTTCGTGAATAATTTCTCACTTACGCCCTCCTTTAAAAAAATATAAAGTATTTTTAGTCTTTGATGTATAATTGTTGACTTTTTTTCAAAAGTACCCTATTGAATGAATTACCTTATATTTATTGTAGGCTATTTAATGAGGGTAAATATGAAAAGATAGAATAGAGTTAGTTTGAAATTAGATAACTACTTTATTAAGGGTGAGATTCGGTTAAAAATACCTTATATTTTTTAACAGAAGTAGTAAGAGTGTACAACTATTTAGATATTATGAAAATTTTATTTGAGTAAAGTGGCTAAGAGTTGACGTATACTACAAAAAAAAAATTGAATCTTGGTTGTCGTTACCAAAAGTCTAAAAGTCATCTCTAAAGGTTTTTAATGGTGACATTTCATCACCATAGGGTCACCGTCAAAAGTTTGATTGCTAATATTTTGTCACCATCAAAAGTTTTTCACAACTAAAAGTTTACCTTTGGTGGCAACAATTATCACTGCTAAAACTATATTTTTGGTGGTGACTATGTTTGTCACCACAAAAAACTTGTGTCATTTTTTTTAAAAAAAATAAAAGAGCCATCTTATGTCACATTAGTGCCTCTTCATGCCACATCAATTGACACCTTGTGTCACATTACCTGCCACGTTGCCATCACATGCCACGTCACATATTCACGTCACATATTCATTGTAAAATATGTCAAAACTAGGATTTGAACACTTAACCTCTACCTTTCAAGCCTTAATTCCTCTTTTTTCACCAGTTGAATTGAAATGTATTTACAATTATTATATGAGAAATTAAATATATATTATTTAACTATATACATATATACCAAATAATATTTTATTAGAAATATATACATATATCTTATATTATATTTTAATTTATTAATATGATAAAATAATTTACATGAGTGTGTGTGTTATATTTTTTAATAAAATATTATTTTTGTTGTAGCAAATATTATTTTTGTTAGGAAAATGAACTTAAAATAAAATAATTTTTTAAATATTAAATAATATTATTTTTACTTTTTTTTTCCATATTTTTCTCAAAAATTAATAAATAAATGATTAAACTTTTATCTTCTCTCAAGTTAAATGCTTCCCCTTCGTTTATTAAAAATAATTTTTATCTACAATTTTTCAATTATCTTAAAAAATATTTTAATAAAAAAATTATTTTAATCATATGAATTTTGTTAATAGTCATTTTGAACAATTATTTTTTATTATCTTTGAGATAGAAAATGAGTGAACATGTAATAAACTAAAAGTAGATGCTAAACAAAAAAATCCAAATTAAAAATCTAAGTGGATATTTGATGATTGAATAGAAAGAATATTGTCTTGAATCGATCTAGATTAGTTTGGACTTCTATTAAAGTCTTTTTAACAGAGTCAATTTCAAGATAATAGGGAATACTTTTCAATAACTTTACAATTTAAAATAAATACATTTTAATAAGTTTATATATAATTTTATTCATAATTCAAATGTTAACATAAATTAAACAATCAAGATTACAATTCTCAACCAATAATAATCCCAACAAATTTAACATTAACAAATTAAACAATTTGAGTAATTTGAAGAACAAGAACATGATGAGGAAACACTATCATAAAATACCACCATACTTGACGTTTATTTTTATTAATACTTGAAGGTTTTCAACAATTAAGTAATGGTGCGACATATACTATAACCAACTTTACTTAATGTGACGTGTGATTTGGCATGAGATGGCAGGGTGATGTGGCATCATCTGTCGAACACATGACCTGTGACGTGGCATCATCTGTCGCATATATGGCAGGTAATGTGGCATCAAGTGATGCACATGTGGTAGAGTAATGTGACATAAAATAAATTACTATTTCTTAAAGAAAAGTTTTGGCAGTGACAAATGTCGTCACTAAAAGTTTTTTTAGTGATGACATTTGTTGCCGCCAAACTCTTTTACCTGCAAAAAACCTTTCGCCAGTTAAACTACTTATTTGTCGTCGTAAAAAATTATTAACAATTGTTATAGTGACGGCCTTTTAGTGATAAAAAGTCGGTGCTAAAAATTTTTAATGGTAACTTTTAGAGCTGTGGCTGCAATTTTGTGTTGCTGCCAAAAGTCTGTTTTTTTGTAATGCCATTATGTTGTGTGCGAATCAATTGTTAATTAATCTAATAACCATTATATCCAAAAGTAATGACAACGTGACCACTTGTCTTTATTATGAAATCTATTTTTCTCTTCTGGCCAAAAAAGAAGAGATATATCTTTTCTCTCCTTTTTTAAACATTATCCGGCAGAGTTCATCGTATATGAAGGGTCTCGCTGGCCCTTCTACGCACAAAAATACCACGTTAATGGGGGGTCCCTCACTTGCCCATCTAGAAGAGACTCTCAATTTAAAAAAAGGAATGCCGATATACAAATACATAATTATTAAGTTTTTTCTTTTATTGCAGCAAATAAAACGTGTACTGTTTGTTACCATTGACTTTTTTTTTAAAAAAAAAAAAACCTTGAAATCAGCCCATTCATCAGCGCCCAACTTTTGACAATGTGTACGCCCGCGTGTTAAACCATTTTATCATGTGCATAATAATTCTTAATGACTCTGATAACATTTGAGACCACCGGTTAAAATTGCCTTCATTTAAATAACTAACGTAAATGACTTATTGGTTCCCATGTTATATATTGTTCATTTACTTATAAAATGTTATTCATTTACCTACTTTACTCATTTATAATCCTAGAATAAAATCAAGTAAAAATAGAACTATAAACAAGTGAAGTAAAAAAAAGAATAATATTTTGTAAGTAAATGAACGACATACATTATGAAAACGAACAAGTCATTTATGTTCTTCATTTAAATGAGAACAATTTTGTCATTTCTGTCACAAATTCAAATGAAAATCTGTTAAAATGTGAACTTCACATATTAATTTGTTAATGTTTACAGGTTAGACTATTAAATCATATAGAGGTCATTCATTAATATTCTCCCTTTTATTATATGGACCTTAATAGTTAATAACGCAAACGAATTTATTACATTTTCTTCAAAGAATAAAAAATATTATCACGTTTTCATTTCTTACTCCAGGCTCTATAAATACTGGACACACTTAAGCAAAAATGATAAGTCCATCGCTTGATTGCTTATTTGAGCAAACAATAATGGCTTCTCTTACTCTCTCTAAGTCTCTCTTTCTTTACTTCTTCTCCTTTTCAATGATATGTCTCTCTTTCAGCAGTCCTAGAGAATTTTCCATTCTGAATTACAATGATGATCTGGACAAGTTCACCTCTGAGGAAGAGCTCTTTGAGCTGTTCCAAGTGTGGCAGAGGAATCACGAACGGTTATATGAAACCCTAGACGAGATGTTAAAGAGATTTGAGATTTTCAAAAACAATGTGAAGTACGTCAAGGAGGAAAATGCAAAAAGAACATCAGACTACGACTATCGTTTGGGTTTGGACCAATTCTCAGATTTGACGTTAGAGGAATTCAAAGAAACCTACTTATTTGATATGGATCCCATAGTGAGAAGCAGCATTGGTGAGCCCGACAGCGATTACTGTCCAAACGCACCTCAATCCTTGGATTGGAGGGACTTTGGAGCTGTAACAGACGTCAAAAACCAAAAACAATGTGGTAAGTGTTCATAAATCATATTTTTAAATCTTATTTACTTTATTTATATGGATTATTTGGAATTGGTGTGGTAACTGATGTTAAACAACAAGCCTCTGTCTGTGGTAAGTGTCTATGGACTTGGATTCTCTTGAGTGGCTATTTTCACGAGATATATTGCATTAATTATCTTTATGTTTAATTTGATGAGCTTAGCTTGAATGAATTGGAAGACACAATTAATTCAATATCATGTATATGTTTTATAGGAAGCTGTTGGGCATTCTCATCTACGGGAGCCATCGAAGGAATAAATAAAATAGCCAACAATACTCTTGTGAGCGTTTCTGAACAACAACTTGTGTCTTGTGATCCTAATAGCTACGGTTGTAGTGGAGGCCAAGCCTTCTTTGCATTTGAATATGTCATCAAAAATGGTGGAATTGCCTCAGAGGAAGATTATCCTTATGAAGCTATCAATGGTACTTGTGATCATGAAAAGGTCTGTAATGTTGTTCTTTACTTTTGTGGATTACACCACCTCCTTCTTCTTCTCGCTCTGATTCTCTGGTTTTGTTTTTTTCTTTTACAGGAGAAAAAGATAGCACTTACTATTGATGGCTATGGAAATGTGACATCCTTATCAGAACAATCTCTCTTTTGTGCCGTTTCTAGGCAACCTGTTAGCGTTTATATATATGCCACTACCCAAGACTTTCAGTTCTACAAGGGTGTAAGTCATATATATATATATATATATATATAACTATATATGTTTGTATGTGTGTTACTGGGTATAAGTCAAATTCCACTCTCCCTCCCTCTCTTACCCTCATTTAAGGAAAATTGCACATCAAATCCCCTTTTCTTTAAAAGTAACTGATGCTTGTTTTAATTTAATAATGGAGACGAAGTTGTCCTAAATTTAATTATTTAGGATTTATAATACAACAAATATGAGTTTCAAGTTCAAATCGCTCTTGAACTTATAATTTAAGATTCAAATTGTATATTAACCTAAAAAAAACTATTTCTTTACTTTCTGATGTCTTAGACAAAAAAAAGTAGAATTACTATTTCTTTTATATTTGTTTGTTCCATCATCATTCAGCTGCAGTATTTCTTGATTAAAATATAATATATATTCATCATCCATTTGGTTAATTTACTTAATTAACATGGACAGGGACTCTTTGATGGGAGTAGCTGCACAAACGTTTCACACTGGAATACTACTCATGCGATGCTGATCGTGGGATATGATTCATTTGGTGATGGTCTTGATTATTGGATTGTGAAGAACTCATGGGGCAAAGATTGGGGAGACAATGGTTACATCTACATCAAAAGAAACACTGGTGATCCTTATGGTGTATGCAACTTCAATTGCTATGCTTATTACCCAACCAAGAACATTCTCGAGCTTGATTCTGCTATATGAAGCTATGCAACACCAATAATAATGTGTGCGGAATTTTTGGCATAAATAAATGGAATGTCGCTTGCCTTTATGAATAAAAGCTCTATTTGTGTTGTAACTTGTGCGCTTGAAATGATCATCAAATGAAATTATTTGGATTTTAAGTTGTTCTGTTTTTTTTTTTTAAATCCAGGTTGAAATTGCTGGGACATGCTTAAGAAGCTATGTCTTGGCCCACGGCCACAATAGACGAAGTCATCAATTACACTATTACAAAATACACATTTTATACACGTGTAAAAACTAAAAAAATGTGACTAGAGGTAAACTTGTAAATAAGTGTCACATATGTGCTCCCTTTGCTAAAAAATGTTAGGCATTTTTTTAAGGGTTGGATGTTCAAAAATTTAAATGTAAATCATTTTTAATGTTCTAAGGTATAATTAATATGTTTTTTTTTCAAGAATACTCTTAATAAATAAATGATTTATATTTATTTTTAAGTAAAATACCTTATTAAATAAGGATAAATATAAAAAGATGACATTAGTTATTAGAAAATAGTTGATTAATTTATTGTGAATGAAATTCAGTTAAAAATATCATACATTTTTTAATAGGAGAGTACAATTTTATACCAATATCATGTTATGGCTTTGTCATGTATGCACATCAAATGTGTCTTGGCCAAAGGCTGAACTTGTGACGGCACACTTCCTAATATCTTTAGGTCCACCTGGTTGCTAGGTTAAATGAAAGATGTCACACCTCGATACTAAGGGTATGACTAACATGAAATATGAAAAAAATTCATATTCCATAAACCTTAATAACAAAAAATTATGCTAAAATATTGATATATGTAAATTATATATATATATATATATAATAGAATTCGTAAAGTCTTAAGTGTTTTGTAGAAATTTTGAAAAAATCTTCCCTGTAACTCGAACCTCTTGAAATTTCCACAAGAACAACAGAACCTATCAACCAAACTAGCAAAGAGACTAGCTCCATTCCAAAAATTTACATAATAACCAAATAAGACTAGGACCTAACTATGGTATACATTGAGTGGTAACTTATAATTTACAAAATACAATACAAGATTTCATAAAAAAGAATAATCACCATGTGCTTCCTCTTTGCAAAAAGCAAGAAGGACCCTTAATGGTCAATTGGAGATGCAGGGTCAGTTACAATATCTGAAACCAAACTTTTTTTTTTATCTGTAGCGTTTCAATTAAAATTATACATAAAAATTATGAAGATAGAACAAATAGATTTTGTCTAAAACAATATCATCCAATACTAAAGGATATATTTGAACTAAACAAATAAAGAGCAATTCGTTTTCAATAATACATTTATGAAATTAAACAATATTGATAAAACAATATAGATTTGTCAAGAATTGTACAACTCATAGAATGTAATCGTTTTAAATATGAGAACAATTAGATAAAATCCTTTCAAAGAACTAATACAAAAATAATAAATTTTAATTTAATTCTAGGAAGGCTTTATTAGAATGAATAACAAGTATAGACACACAGTCCGCGAGGGTAAATAACCAATCAAGCGAGGCTAGAAATCATGAAACAAGCACGACAAAAGTCATGAATCAAGTGCAGGCATGAAGCCCATAAAAACAAGCATGAGTACAGTACTCACAAATACCATCCCTCTGATCCATGTGTGCTGGCCTTCGCACAGTGCTAGCACCTCCTATAAGCACTCTACTAGCTAGGTAGACCATAACACGTCAAGGGCTAACAGGATTGTTGTTAGCATCTAGCATTTTGAACTCAGTCCTCCTTAATAAAATCAAGCATGTATGAAGCGAGAAAATATTTTAAAAATTTTTCTCTATCAAATACCATTCAACCATTAATTGTCATTGTCCAAATTCATTTTCACATTAAACATGAAGTTAAATAATTAGGTTGCAATAACGTAAATTATTCTTAAAATCAAGACATAATTATTATAGAAATTGAATTGAAAATCATATTTAGACAATTTATAAAGGAATAATAATAAAAATTTCAAACAAAAGGAATTTTAAAAAAAATTTCTAAAATTTTGTTCAGAATGCTACCTACTCACCTAAATATTTTCCAAAGATTCTAAAACTTGTTTCTCTTAACTTTTTGACCTCTATTCTAATGATGCCCTCAATGTCTTGACAAGTAAGTCAAAATTTAAATCATTTATCAACTAATCTTCTAACCACTTAATGGGTATCACTATTTAATCTAATCAATGCTAACGATACTATATCTAATTACATTACAAGTATACTTGAGTTAGTTCAATCATTTGATAATTCTCAATATATATCCTCATACCTTCTTATGACTCATACTTATTCATAAATTATTATAAATCATATCAATCATTTTTAAGCTTCCTCTAGACTGATAAAAAATGAAACTAGTATCCTAATAATTCTCTTCCCCACTTTGGTATTTAAATTAGTTAACAACTTGAACTAAAACTTGCATATACTCTTTTAAGCTATAACATGGAAGCTTAACAAGTCATAATTTGTCAAATTTTTCTCTCACACAATTTTACAAATACCTTGTGGGTCTGCATTTATTATTTACAAAATTATGAAATGAATGACCAAGAAATTCTAGCAATTTCAGAACTTCAATTTCCATTACTCATTTCCCAACTCAACACAACCAAACGATTTTTAGCCTAGCAACTTCGGTCCTAACTACAGGTAACATATCAAGAACAAAGAGCAAGGACCACATTAATCAACCAAAGAAAGGAGGGAATGATTCTGTGGTTTTATATAATCTGAAGAGGAAGGAAAGAAAATAGCATCTCACCTCAACAAAGCTCAGTGGTCAGCCACTGAACAGTGTCGAAGAAGAAGAAAATATAAGGGTTCCAATTTGTCAAACACACACGAGAAGGAAGAACTATAATTTCAACCAACAATAAAAGAATCAACTACCACATATACACACGCTATACTTTGACAGCATGGAAAGAAGAAAGAAGAAAAGAAGCTGACCACCCGTAATATACACCCCCTCGTCATCACAAAATAGAGCAAAAAAAACGAGGAAGACACTCAACCTCTCCACCGTGACAACTAAACGAAGACTGAGGAGAGGAAGAAGGCGGCAGCGAAGATAACAACCCAATGACAACCTCTCATTGATACAGAACAACATGATGACAATGAAAGAGAATCAGCAATCCAACTCCTAGTGGTTGGTGAACGCAGATGAGCACGATGACAATGGACAAAGCAATAGCAGTAAAAATCGACACCCCATGACAGCGAGCTTTAGACGTTGAGGAGAGCTAGGGATGAATCGACTATGAATGTCTAGAAGAGTGTATATTGGCAATGAAGAGAAGGAAGTAAGATGCTCTATTTTCTTCGCACAAAAGAAAAAGTTTCTAATGCAAAGAAGAATTGGGGAAAATTACAAGAAAGGCATGAGAAAATCTTAAACAAAAAGCACAAAAGAATTACAAGAAAAGAACACGAGACTTTTCTAAAATTTTAAAACTAAACTTTTGTTAAAAAAAAATTAAACTTTAGATCCTTTAAAAAAAATTTTAACATAAATTTCTTTAAACTATCAATTCCTTTTTATTATAAAATTTATTTAAATAAAATATTCACTAAAATAATTTTTAATTTAATTTAAAATTTAGAGTCGTTACAAAAGTAGTCTTCAATCTTTAACTGAAAAATTAGTTATATGATATTTACTTATAAAAAAAATATAAATAAATAAATTATATAAATATATATATTTATTTAATATTACTTTTATTTATTAGTATGATAAATTATTTTATTTATATCTATATTTATATAATAATTATTTTTATATATTTACACAAAAAAAATTTTAGGAAATTTAATTTCAAATGAAACATTTTTTTATTATCCTTATGTATTATATGATATTACAATTTATATATATAATAGAGTTAATCTACCTTTAAATTATTTCTTATTATAATATTTAGTAGATTTTTTATTTTTGAATAAAAATAATTAATTGTGCTATATAATTTAAATTATTAAAATATGAAAAATTTAAAATACTAAATTATAATTATTAAATTTTTGATTTATAATATGATAATAAAAAATTATAATATATATAAATATAATAAATAAAATATAATTAAAAAATTTTATCACAAAATTGTAATATAAAGTATCTTGAAAATTAGTGACACAACTTTTTAGTCAATATTTTCTGTCTCTAAATTATTAATTTATGAGAGCTTAGCGATAGGATAATGAAGTACTTAGCTTGTCGAGATGAAAATTTCTGTCACTAAATGTCATAACAAGTCAATTTGCGACGGAAATTTGTATGGTGGCTAAATTTCATTGCTAATTCATTGTTTTGGTTTGTAGTGTATACAAAATACAGTTATTAACATCATGTTGAACTAAACTGTATGAACAAATATCAAAACGACCTGTTGAACGTTATGAAAGGTCTTTTTTGGATACAGAACAAAATGGAAATTTATTAGCTAATGCCAACATCTGAGTTTACTCTGAATAATTAAGTGTTTTGTGTAAGAATGGGAAATGATGAGTACAGTCTTTTGCTTGGTGCTCTTTAAGATGGATCACATGGGATGGCTTCTTAAATGTTGGGCTTTTGGAAAAATGGAGTAATGGGACCAACAAAAAAACTTCCAAAATTAAGAAGTAATGGACAACGTAATGATAGTGCACAGAATTTTCATGGATTTGGACAGCAAACATTGATACAATTTAAGCTAAGATTTTGATGAAATTTAATGGTAATTTGATTTCATATATGTGGGGACGACTTTATGTTTATGCAAACTAAGACTATGTAAAATTCGTGCATGTTAGTGAGAACTAAAATCTGACACATGCTATGTCATCTATTCATCATCAAATGTACCTTGGCCAACCTTTGAATTCATGACCACACACTTTCAACTGCCACTAAAAAAAAAGAAGGATTTAGGGACAAGTAAAAATCCGTCTCTAAACAACTTAAAATCTATCTCTAAAGTTGTTTAGAGATGCATTAAGAAACAAAATACAAAGTGTCACTAAAAGTGGCATAGCTAAATAATTGGATATGGATTTTTGTTACCTATCTCTATTTAAAATGGAATGCTTTTGTCTCTAAATTGAAATTTGCTTGTCTCCAGTTTCAATTTAAAGTCATCATCTTGTACTTTGTATAGAGGAATATAATCCGTCTCTAAAACTGTCTTTACATTTAGAGACTGAATTTAATCCATTGCTAAAATAATTATATATAATTCATTTATTTTTTAGAGATAGATTATTCCATCTCTAAATGCATCTCTGTGTGTGTGTGTATTTCACTCACCCCACCCCTCCATTATGAGGATCTTTTTCAAATTTACATTAATGACAAATTCAATTTAATAATTAGAAAGAAAAATCTATAACAAAAGATATTATCTTCAATCATGAAAACCTATAATTTTTGTTAAATGCAATATCCAACATATGAGAGTTCGTGAAACATGTTACATGGTCTTCTCTTGCCTAAACAACATTGTGCTACAAATTCTTCATTAAAAAAAAAATGCAATCATAGTTACAAAATTAATATTACTACAAAATTAGCTATACTGGACGCCTCTTATTGGACAGTTATTTAACTAACTGTCCAATATGTAGATGCAGGGAAACATATTGGATGATTAAAAAAATAACTATCTAATATATTGGATGGTTATTTTCAAAACTGTCAAATATGTATTTGAAAATTTTAATATTTTTAATATAAATACATATTGAACGGTTAATTGATATAACTATCCATTATGTATTTTAATATGTTAGATAGTTGTATATAACAACAATCTAATATTAGGTTTTAAATCTCTAGTTCCCAAGAGCCATATCAGAACCCACCTCGTCCTTCCTCTTCTGTTGATACTCTAGATCTAGTCCTTCGGTTCATCAATATGTTCCACGATGTTGCTCCATTTGCTTGGTCATAACTCCAAAGGTTGTCAATGATTCAAAATCGCTAAAGTAAAGGAAGATGACAACAACGCTAAAGGAGAACCCACCGTTCATCAACACTGATGGACAAAAGCTTAGGGACTTCTTACTCATTTAAATTGGTGAAGAGCAGCAACAATGAGAACATGACCTTGTTCACAATTGCCCTGCTGGAATGACCCCACAGTGCCGTCATTCTTCATCAGCAATTTGGGAGAATGATACAGGTAAATATAGTGTCTCATTAATCAATAGTAGCATAAGCGGTGGAGTAGACACATTATGACAAATTGAAGCCAAGTGCCCAGCCTTGCTTTTCAAACACTAGCTTACCGCATATGTAGGAAAAAGATGTATGGAAGAAATTTCCCTCGTTCTAGGGTTGTGCATCCAGGTGGGTAACTATTTCTTTGTTTTTAAAGATTTTTTTTAACTTCTTTTCCGTCCTTCTATCAAATTTAGGGATTTGAAAAGTAATTGTTTATTTGTGATAAGATAGGCACCAGGAACATCTAGACCAAACTTGATTAAGGTATAACTTTCAATTGCAAATACTAAAGCTCAATGAGTTTTGATTGCTCATTGGCAAGGGATAATTAAGAGGTTTGGGAACTTTTTGAATACTTTGAAAGCAAACCATGTAAGTAGAATCTCATTTGACACCATTCTTCTATATTTGCTTCTTTATATTTGTTATATTTGTATTATGGGCATGGGTCTTCATGCATTTTTTTGGCTGACCCTTATGATTCTAATTAAGGAATCCTCTGTTATACTCTGTTATGCATTATATTCAGGTTCTAAATTAACACACATAAATTTATCTGTTATACTATGTTATATAGTCTGTTGTAACCAAACTTTGAAGACATGAAAGCAAGAAGAGTAAAACACTTAGAGGTGTGTCTTTAACATGCTTTCAATTTTGGCTTTGACTACTGTTTGTGAAAAAAATTATTAGCTTTATTGATACTTTCTAACTTAAATATTAGCATCTAATCATTGGTAATATCTCTTCACAGTGTTATCACACTTTTCCTGCCCTTTGGATTTTTCATGTTTTTTAATTATAAAATAGGATGTTAGTTGATGAATCACATATTTTGCACACTTTTTTTTTATATTTGTAACCATATTTTATTGGTTTAGACCCTTATATGCATGATTTTAATATTGGATTTGATCATCGGCTCATTTGCATTGAGTTTTGACATTAGAGGCATTTTGCACATTTTATTTGAATTAATTATTTTTAATTTGGAATTTCAATTACTTGACACATTTTATTAGTTGGGCAATTTTTATTCTCATTTGTAGGACTTTTTCTAGTTCAATTTCATTAGATTAATTTAGCTTTAGTTACTTTGTGTTTTTAAGAAATTTGAGGGCCAAGTTGGTAATTTGCTCATCTTATTTTAAATTAGATTTTTGAAACACATAAGACTGGGAACGTAGACGGAAAACAAGAAGGGGAAAAGGACATAAAGGTTAAAAAGGATAAATTAATTTAAATTGGGTCTCAAGTGTCAAATTTTAAAAATTTATAAATTAATTTTTCAATTTTGCAACTCCATTATGATAAATTTATAACTTGTATTTTAAATTTTAACAAAAATTTTTTTTATTTTTCAACTATGTTAAAACTTAAAAAATAAATTACAAATTTATTATAATACAATTATAAAATTGAGAAATTGAGTTTTAAATTTTTGAAGTTTGAGACTTGAGATTTAATTTAAATTAATTGATTGTTTTGGGACTTTTTTGTCATTCTACCAAAAAGAAACAGAATGAGGCACACATCATCATCTTCTCAGTTGGGATTCAACGCGAGGAGGAAAGAAAAACATTACGGAGCTCTCGGTTTTGAGCATATCACACATGGACGCTCATCATCTTCTTAGTTGAGATCATTGCATGCTATCGCTCATCTTCTCTGAGACCAAGGCTCGCCGCTCACACACACCATCGAACAGCCGCCGCACTTCTTCCTCTGAGTTTAGACCGTCGCACACAGTCATTGCACAAGCTGTAGCTCGCCACTTCACGTCACAGAGTCGATCGCACATCTGGGATTGGGTTTTAGTTTGGTCACGGACTCAACGCACAGAATCGCTCATCTCTCTCTGGATTCAGTTCGGTCGCCGCCTCAAACGCAGATTCATTGCACACTGTCGCGTATTTCCCTTTCAATCAGTTCGGTCCAGATTCCTTCACTCTTACATATTCTCTTGATTTTGGTTTTGTTGTAGCTCAAATCTGATTCTAATTCTTATTATGATTTCAAATTTAATTCATTTGAATTAATTTGATATCATTTTTCTTGTGAGGATCAAATTGCTTTGATATGCATTTTCATTGAACTGCTGCACTTCAAGTGTTTGAATTTATGCTTTGATGGTTATTACTTGTTGAATTCAAATTTCTCTTGAGTCTTGCTTGATATTTCTGATTCATTCAGCTTTCATTAGGTCTTGGTGAGAAATTGATTGTCTAAATTTAATTGTTCTAAGTGTTAGATTAAGGTTTTAGCAAGGCAAAAATTCAGTGTGATTTATTTAATCAAAGTTTTGCAATTGTTCAAGAGTTATATGTCTGGGTCTAAGCCACATTTACCTAGTCCTAATAGTCATTAGGCTTTTAATTTTGTCAATTGAATCACATAGAGACCGAGCTTATGGAATTAAAGAGTCTATGATGGTGAAATGGATTCAAAACTTGAAGAATTCACCCATTTGCTTGTTCAATTCAATTTTACTTCCATTCATTTTCACTTAAAATTTAAAAAATCAAAAATACTTTCTTTCTTGATTTGTGTTAGCCAATATCTATTTTAAGTTGTGAATGGTTTATGAAATGAAATTGTTTGCTTCACTTGCTCTCTTGAGATAAGAATGACCTGGGGTGCACTCCACTACATTTTAGAATTTTTGAGAAATTTGATACAACTTAGGGCTTTTTAAGTAGTGCTGTTGCCCGGAAGCAACATAGCCAATCAATTTCAATTCATTCACCATTATTTAATTTGTTTTTCTGTGATTTTTCACTATTTTGTGTGGTTTTTCAGTTCTAAAACCAAGCTGAACTTTGCTGTTGTTAGCTTTGATTCTGTCCTGACTTTAAAATTGAATTGGGAACAACTGATAAGGAGTTTGTGCTTGGGACTAGATTTTTTATAAATCTATACATCTTAGCTTTGATTCCACACCGAGAGTGCAAATTTTGGACTTGGGAGCTGTTCTGTTCATCTGTTGCAAGACAGCAAGGTTCTGGAAGTCTATTACAGCAAGGTTTTGTGTGTCATCTTTGAGTGCGCACAAATTTCACGCTACCCGTCCAATTTTCCTTTATTCTTGTTTCATTTCATTCATCACTGTGTTATATCTGATTCATATGTTTGGCTCATCCTCTGATTTTACCATTAACTTGGTGAAAAGACTGAAGAATTCTGATAAGGTACCCTGGAAGTAGTCCTGAATCTCCAGAATTGTTAACTGAGTTATGCGAATTTCTGGGAGAAACTGAGAACGAATTTTGACTTGAAAATTTTTCGGTATAGTTATTGTTATCTTATCTGTTTCAGATAAAAATTTCAGAGGCATTAGACTTGGGGTTCAGCTTTTGTGCAGCTCACAAACTCACCAGCTTCAGACTGATATTTGCTGTCAAATTCAGAAAAGTGGACTAAATTTGAATGAGCATGTCTCACTTCCTACTCATCCGAATTGCATGATTTTTGTTTCTGAATTTTCTTTAGCATCATAGATTAATTTTATTAGTTTTGAGTTTTTGCTAATTCCTTCATTTTCACTTTCTAAAAAAATCAAGAAACATTCTGCTACTGTGTGTTTTGTTTCTGTCAGATTTTCAGATTTGTGTGATTTTTGTGTTTTTTGACTTTTTAGGTGTTTTTGTTAGTTTTTTTGACTTATTTTAGAGCATTTCATGTCCTGTGACTCTTTTTTGAAAGCTGAGAAAGAATTTCTTGACTTTAAAACTCAATACTTGGATATCATTTCTTCTTCCTCCACTTGTTTCATTGATAAATCTTTTGTTTTGAAAAGTATGGCAAATAATGATGCAAATAGTAATGGACATGTGCATAATTATGAAGAAGAAATTCCTATTAAAAGAAGCATTAGGAAGATGGTTGCACCTAAAGATGCATTTAAAGCATGTGACTTGAATGTGAACTTGCAAGAAAATGTTAACTATGAAATTAAGTCCTCCCTAATCAATGCCTTATCAAAGTTTCATGGACTTGCAGGTGAAGATTCCAATAAACATCTCCAAATTCTCAAAGGAGTTTGTGTTACAATGAAGCCGCCTATGACTAGTTTGAAGAATTTAATGTTGAAGGTCTTCTATTTCACCTTGGAGGATACGGTCATCACTTGGTTTAATACTTTGGCTATTAAGACCATCAATTCATGGGTAAAATGAAACATTGGTTTTTAGAGAAGTACTTTCCAAAAACTAAATACTCTCAATTGAGGAAGCAAATAATGGAAATTCAACAATTTCTTCAAGAATTTTTATATGACTATTGGATGAGGTACCTTGAACTCCTAGCAAGATGTCCATATCTCTCAGTTGGTGAAGAGTTTCTCATTGAATATTTCCATGTTGGACTCTCAATTCATGATAGAGAGACTATAGATTCAGCTATTAATGGATCTTTACTTGATTTGCCTCCTAATGAAGCTTGGAAATTGGTAGAGAATATGACCAATAATAATCAACAACACAACACAAGGGAGAACACAAGAGGTGTGAATGAAGTCTATGAAGCTTCAATTTCTAGTACTCAACTAGATGATATGTGTAATGATCCTAAATTTAATATAAAAAAATTCTCCCAAGGGATATATTATTTAAATAAGTTTTGTTTGTAAGTTTGATTTGATTTTTTTTATTTATATTAAATTATGGAAAAAGTTTGGGTCCTTTTTGTAATTTTGTTTGGTCTTTCTTGTAATTGTCCTTGGGCTCTTCTTGCAATTTTCCCAAAACTCCCTTGATCTGATAATATAACTTCGCGTGTAAGAAAAAACAGAGCAGTCGCATTTGCTTCTTCACCAACTTGGAGCTCCCTTTTCTTGTCACTGTCAAACCCTTCCTCCTCACCTTCGACTTGTTCTATTACTCACCGTCGGCATGCCTCTTAATTCACTGGTGCGTTTCCACTGTCCGTTCGTTTTCTGTCTGGAGCTGAGCTGAGTCTCTGTTCTGTTTTGTTTCGCTGTGCGGTGGCTGGAAGAGGTGCGTTCCTGCGTGTATATTCAGTTTTGCTTTTCTTTCCCTGTGTGTTTATGGTAATCTGAGTTGTGCGTTGCTGGCTGAAATTATCTGTCTTCCTCTTTGTTGTTCGTACAACGATCAAAACTATTTTCTTTCCCTGTGCAGTTCGTGAGGTGTGTGTGTCAGTTACCATCGTGTGTTTGTCACTGAGAGAGCATGGGGTTGCTGGAATTCATTAGCTTGTCGTTCCTTATGGCTGTCTCTGTTCCAGGTTGACATCCGTGCGTGTACTCGTGCTCAACATGTAAGCTCTCTTTCTCTTCAACCACTGGCGGTGCTTGCGTGTGTGTATGAAAGTTTGTTTCATTTTTTTTCTCTGACTGGCCGATTTTCGTTGCTCTTTTTGCTGGTGCTGTCATGGTCTGTGAAGGAGATATTGGGTTATAGCTATGGTCTCGTGACTTAACCAGTGGAGGGTGCCTTCAACGTGCTTGTGGAAAAGCTTGAATGAGAAACTTCGGTGTTGTTTAGATAATATGTGTGCTACTTCACTGATGCCGAGTTAAGAATTAATGAAGAAATTAAATGCTGGGAATTGTTGGACTTGGATATTTGCCTCATAGTTTAATTGATAATGAATATTCTCTTAGAGCTGGAAAATATGCTCAAAAGATTTGTTTGTAGACATAAGATTGTTAAATTTTTATGATAGAGTTTAGAAAAATTATAAATATTACTTGAGGGAGTATATGTTTCTACATGCAAGAAGTAAAGTTAAATTACTCATTGAAATTGTGTAGTACTTAAAGGAAAATTATTAGACTATATAATAATTAAAAATTTTGTTAAGCTTGGAATAAGAGCTGTGTTAATGGTTGTGAGTGAATATTGTCTAGTGTTATTGATTATTTGGTAGAAGTTGTTGAAGAGTTTTGTGGGAACTTAAGGGGTTATTGAGAAATTTAATGAATAATTGAGGAGTTTGAGCGTTAATTTCGCTTGCTTATATGAGTGAAATAGTAGTGATGTAATATGTACTGGTGTACATGTTAGATTAATTTGAGGCACCATTGAAGTAAGCAAGGAATTGATGGAGTCTGACTATAAAATTTTTGAAAACTCAGATGAGTGGGTAGCGTTCTGAATAAATTTTTAGTAAAGTGTTTATAAAATCTCCTTATTTAAAATTTTACTATTAATCTTTTACAAACTGTACAACTATTCTTATTTATCTTATTTTTTTAATAATTATTTTATTAATGGAAATGTGTTGATTTTACTGACACTTTATATTGATTGACAAGTAAAGATGAAAAAAGAATAGTTTAATGGTGTTTGAAAGTTGAAAAAAAAAGTTTGAAATTGTTTTGTTGCTTCATACATGCTTAATTTTAGTAAGGAGGACTGAGTTCAGAACGCTGGATGCTAACAGCAGTTCTGTTAGTCCTTGGTGCACCATGATTTACCTAGCTAGCAAGGTACTTATAGGAGGTGCTAGCCCCATGCGAAGGCCAATGCACGTGAAATGGAGGAATGGATATTCATGAGCATTATACTCACGCTTGTTTCATAGCTTCTAGCCTCGCTTGTTGGTTATTTATCCTCATGTATTATGTATCCAGGCTTGATTGATTATTTACTCTCATGGACTGTGTGTCCACGCTTGTTATTCGTTCTGATAAAGTCCTCTTAGATTTAAATTAAAATTTATTATTTTTGTATTAGTTCTTTGGAAGGGTTCTATCTAATTGTACCAGTACTTGAGATGATACATTCTATAAGTTGTACAAATCTTGATAAATCTATATCATTTTACTAGTATTGTTTAATTTTAGAATTGTATTTTTGAAAAAGAATTGTTCTTTATTTTCAATTCAAGTATATGCTTCGATATTTGATGATATTGTTTTAGACTAAATTTATTAGTTCTATCTTCATAATTTTTTTATGTATAATTGTAATTGGAATGCTACTCATAAGAAATTTCTTTGATCTCAGATATTGTAGCTGACCCTGCACCTCCAGTAGATTGTTAAGGGCCTTTTGTTTAATTTTTTGGAAAAATATGAAGCATATTACAACTATTATTTGGTAAAACTAAGTATTATATTTTATAATTATAACTTAGTGCTCCACGTAAATCATAATTAGGTCCTAGTCTTATTCCATTATTATGTAAATTGTTGAGATGGAACTAGTCTCCTTGCTAGTCTGATTGGCAGGTTCTGTTGTATTGTGGAAATCTTGGGAGGTCTAAATTAAAGGAGAGATTTTGTCAAAATTTTTACAAAACATTTAAAACATTACAAACTTTATCATATATATAACTTATATATATTTCAATATTTTAGCGTAATTTCTAGTTATTAAGGCTTATGGAATATGAATTCTCTTCATATTTCATGCCGGTCATACTCTTAATATCGGGGTGTGACAATATGTACTCTCAGTTAAACTTCCTCAAGATGTATCTTGCAACTTCTAAACAACCTCAAGTGGCTTTTATGTCAAGAGCATCGGTAGCTTCGAGTTGTGCCATTTGCTACTCAACTTTGCACATTACTTCAAATTGCATGTATGCATATGAGAGGGAAGATGTTGCTAGTGTTTATCAACAACAAAATCCATACAATCACCCACAACGAGGAAGAGGTTAATTTGAGCCATATGGAAATACATATAACTCTAGTCGAAGAAATCACTTTAATTTGAGTTATAGATCTACTCAAGAGGTTTCTACTTCAAGGAATAATCAAATAGTTCCGGTCCAAGACTCTTTTAATGATAGTAAGCTTTTATAGCTTTTGGAAAAGATGAACAACAACATGACATATGTGAATTCAAAGGTGAAAACTCATGTCTCAAATGTTAATTCCAAATTTGATAAAGTACACAATTGAGCTTCTTTTAGAGACTAGGCAACACTTAATTGAAGTTGTCATGCAACAAATGAATAACAACAATAGTATTTCTCAAGCTCAAAATAGTGGTAAACTTCTCACACAACATGTGATCAATCCAAAGAATACCAATGCCATTGGATTGAGAAGTGGAAGAAGACTTGAGGAAGTATCTCAGCCTAATGAGAAGGATTCTAGTTTTAAGGCTTCTAATGCTTCTCTAATGCTTGATGAGGATTATCATGATGCTCACTATAGTGTAAAAGTACCTATTCTTGAGGAAAATAACTTTGGACCTCAAAAGGTGGATCTAAACCAAGAACAAAGTCAAAAAACCAAAACCGAACAGCATTCTGAAATTATTGATGAAATGGGTTCTAATGAGACTTTAAAGGTGCAAGAAGCTTCAAAAGAGAAAAAGGGAGAAACCAAGAGAATGCAAAATTGGGGATCCAATTCCTAAAGACATACATTTCTCTCATGCTTTGACAAGATTTGTAAAGAACAAGCAAGAGGATGATAAGCAAGATGTCATTGAGATGTTGAAAAAGATTGAAGTAAATATACCTTTGCTAGACATGATTAAGGGCACGCCTAAATGTGCCAAATTCTTGAAGGAGTTGTACACAAACAAGAGGGGATTCAAGACATTAGCTACTATGTAAATGAGTCCTAGTGTGAGTGTAATTTTTAAGCCACAATTGCCTATCAAGTGCAAAGATCTGGGAGCTTATACTATTCCTTTCCAAGTTGGGAATGTGATTATTCCAGAGGCTCTAATAGATCTTGGGGTAGTGATAAATGTCATGCCTACTTGTACTCTTCTCTTAGCATGGGAGGCCTTCAAGATTATGGAGTCATACTCTAATTGGCAGGTGGAAGCATTATAAGACTAAAGGGATTCTTAGAGGATGTTTTAGTGAAGGTAAAGGACTTGCTTTTTCTTGCTGACTTCTATGTGATTGTTGGAATTCTTGGAGATTGATAGTTTGTTGAGAAAATATTTAAATGCTAGAGTTGTTATAAAGAGATTGGAAATGATATGTATTTGGTTCCTTGACAAAATGTTAATGAGGAATTTTTTTTAGTGTAAAGCTTTGGATTTAAAGTTTCAAATTTATTATAGTTGATTATTAATAGGAATGTTGAATAGGAATTATTGTACTGGCTAGGAGTTGAATAAAATTTTAATATGATTTATAAGGTGTTTGGAAGAAGAGAAATTTAATTGAAGTTGACAGAAAAATTTTAGGTAAGTGGATAACATCCTAGTTGACTTTTCAATAAAAAAATTTCTTTATGCAAATCATTTTAATAACAACAATGTGACTATTGGATTATTTGTTGATTAAATTTCTTTATTTTGTAAAATTAACTTTATTAGTTTTGAAATGTTAGTTAATCATTAAATACAAGTTTAGACTTTGATTATGAGATTTTATTCTATCAAATATTGGATTTATATAGAAAACATTTCATGTAAGTTCGACATTGAAAATAAAAATTTTATTTAATAGTGATTATTTTCTTACATGTTTGAAATTAAGTTTGAAAGGAAATTTATACAAAATACTAGTTGCTAATGGCAATTTGTTAGCCCTTGGTGCCTTAGTTATTGACTAGCTAGTTTGAATTTTGTGAGTTTTGTTTTTATATTTGTTATTCGTGGGTTTAACACATGTGTTTGATTTCTTGGCTTTGAACCGTATTTAGTTAGTATAACCCTTGTGAACTGTATGTGTGTCCATGTTTATTTCGTAGCTTAGGCTATGTTTGGTTAATTACCCTTGTAAATTATATGTCCATATTTGTTTTCGTGGCATAAGCCGCGTTTGGTTATTTACCTTTGTGGACTGTGTGTTCACATTTATTAATTATTTTGATAAGTTCCTATATATATGAATTGGATCATTTAGTAATTCTATATACCATTAGTTTCATTTAGTGATTTATTCACAATTATTTATCTCGTTTATGTACTTTCTTGAAAGCAAGTGATGATAATATTTGCTAGTATAGTTTAACTGTTTAAAATTTTATTTAAAGTGTATAGAGCCATTTTTATTTCAAATTTTATTAAAATTTTATGAAAATTGTTATCTCATTAACTTTCATAATTAGTTCAAACTTTTCTTTTTATTCGTATTCAATTATTTATTATTGGGATATTATTCATTAGGAAATTATTTTTGGTTTCAGATACTTTAGATGACGTTGATCCTCCTACTGACCCTTAATGACTTTTAAACGTGCTGGGTAGAAAGTTGATGGAAATCTCTCCTTTTGATGTAATTATAAGTGTTTCTATATTTTATTTTATTTTATTTTGAAAAGTCTAGTTAGATACTCTTCATAAGTTATAACTAGGGTTTCTATTTGATATATAAATATATATGATATCTGCTGGCTGAAAGGAGCTAAGTTTTTGATTGATACAATATTTTGTAAACATTTTTGTATTGTATAATTTTTGGAAGATTTTATTTGTAGGGAAGGTTCTACCGAAATTTATACAAAACAATGATGATGAAGCTTTTATTATAATGATTAATATCAAGATTGTTAAAATTTCAATATAAACCTGATTATATTTTAGAAATGGAATAAACTTATGTTTTGAGACTTACAGGGATGTGCAATACAATTCACATCATGTGCTGGTCACCCTCTATTTTTGAGGAGTGATAGTTAGCATGTGATTTTGATACCTTAAATACTTTTTATATTTTATGAAATGTAGGAGAATATTGTTACGACTTTTGTTAGTATATAATTTTGATATTTTGAATATTTTTTATATTTTATGGAATTACCTATATATTTTATATGTTATTGA